CCGAAAGGCACCCGAGAAGGTTTTGGTGGCGCTGAGCCTGGCCAGTGGTGCCCGGAACCGCACGCCTTGTGAGCTGCCCAACGCCCGCCCAGGGAAGCGATCATTGCACCGTTACTTTCCCATCCTGCGGGCACGGGGTAGTTAGACGGCGGAGATGAAAGGCGGAGGAGAGGAACCGGCTGAGAAATCAGGAAGAGCCATTTCTCTTTAGCGTGTGCATTCATTACATGAAGTGCCCCAGGAGAGAGGAGGCTCAACTGATGACCCAACAGCTTATCTCAGCCAGTCACCCGCACTGCTGGTCAGAGTGTGCACACGTATTTCAAAGGGTTATGTTTTGATAAGTTTGCATTCCTTTGGTTTAACACTCTTTTCTAAAATTCTTTATTGTTGAAAGCATTACACAGGTCCCCTTTTCCCCCATTGTCCTCTCCCAGCCTGCCCCGCCCCCAACCCCGGCCTTCACCCCGCCCCCATTGTGTATGTTCATTGGTTATGCATGTACTCATACAAGTTCTTTGGTTGATCTCTTATTACACACAGTTATCTTTGAGAAACACGAGCAATCCAGGTCTCTCCTCTCAACCAGAAAAAAACAAATCTTTTAATTTAAAAAGAAAAACCATATGCTTGTTGGGGGAGAGGGGACAGGTAAGGGAGCACAAAGCATGCAGTGTCCATTCATCTGCATACACATAACCTCAGTTAACATCTCTCTAAACTTTTAGTAACCCTGTTGCCCACCAAGTCACGTATGAACTCTGAGGCATTCAAGGTTCCAAGAAGTTCCTCTCAATGTGACCGGGGCCCACCTTCCCAGGCTCATCTGTGGTGCTCAGCCAGCTCCATGGCATTGCTTTTCCTCAAGCTATCCGGGGTGAAAGACAAGCTTTTATTATTCCCAATCTGGTATGGACTGTCAGTTTTTTAAGACACAATTAAAAACTTGCTAGAAATATTTTTTTAAAAGACAAAATCTACAAGTCCCAGTGTTTATTATGAGCATACAAGGATACAAATATAAGCTTACTGTTGATTTGTTTTTCTTTTCCTTTCTCAATTTTTACTCTCAGTTTCGATATTCATCTCATCATGGACCCGTAAAGACCGTTCATGGGTTGGTACTGGTAACCATACTGTCATTGGCACTGACTTGTTCTCTAAGTGTGTCTGATGCTCTTCGACTTCTGTGGCTTTTCTCACGTTATTCCTTCAGTGCTGATCAAAGTTCTTCTCGCTCAAGGTTCAACTCATGATGTAATAAAAATAACAGCTTAACAATTATTGCATGTTTTATGATAAGACTTCAGATGCATTAACTGTGAATTCTTATCAACCCTATGAGCTAGGTGTCATTATTCATTATTATTACTACTAGAGGCCCAGTGCACAACATTTGTGCACTGGTGGGGGGGGTTCCCTCAGCCTGGCCTGTGCCCTCTTGCAGTCCAGGACCCCTTGGGGGATGTCTGCCTGCCAGATTAGGCCTGCTTTCCCGCTCCCTTGAGCCCAGCTTCTGGCTGAGCAGCACTCCCCCGTGGGAGTGCACTGACCACCAGGGGGAAGCTCCTGCATTGAGCATCTGCTCCCTGGTGGTCAGTGCACGTCATAGCGACTGTTGTTCCTCCATTCGGTCAATTTGCATATTAGCCTTTTATTATATAGGATTCCCACTTTACTAAAGAGGACATTGAGGGTTAGAGGGGTCAAATTATATACTAGTGAGGTACAATGTTAGCGTTCTGGACTGAACTGGCCTGACTCCAGGGCCCGTGCAGTCAGCCATGGTGCTGGGCCCTCCTCCACAAAGCCTCCCCACCTGCTTTCTGGTGGAAAGTGATCACATCTTACTGGAACCTCTACCACAAAATTTCCCCCATTGTGTTTTATTCATGTCTGTTTCCCACACTAAGCTTTAAGTTTCTGGGCACAGTGTCCTTGTGTATCGCCACAGCATCTAGTGCTATTCTCTCCAACTCAGCATCACCCAGTTCTCTCCAATTGACCATGCCCTCCACTATGCTCATAATACCACTGGAAACCAAGCTCACCCACCCCTTTGTGTCACACTATCTTTTGTGCTTACTTCATGTTATGTTATTATTATTTGTTTATGTCTGCATCCCCTATGAGACTGCAGGCCACCGGCTATATTCACCTATCATACCAAAGATGTTTTTATTTATTTAATCGAACAAGCGCATCTAGGAGCCCTTTACAGTAGGTATTATTTCATCACCGTTAACCCATGAGGAAACTGAGGCACAGAGAAGTTACTTGTAAGATGCTGGTAAGCAGCAGAATCAGCATTCTGAGCCAAGCAACCTGGCCCAAGTGGATTTCTGAACCACCTTGCGGTGCCAATTTTCCACTACCCCAGGTGTTCGTCCTGCTCAAGACAGTCATTTCCCCCTGCTCCTGGGCTAACGGTGAAACTGCTTACGAAGGCCTACGAAACTCCACGTGGCCTTAACTCTACAGCTGCATCTCCCATGCTTCCTGGCTCCCTCCTGCACACTCCTGTCTCCTTTCCTTTGCTCCGAAGAGCCATGCTGCCTCTGAGCACAGCACATGTTGTTCCCTTGGCCTTCAATGCTGTTCCCTCACTTTGTTCCTTCCTCAATCTCAAATTATCCTTCAGATTTTAGTTGAGGAAGACCTTCCTAGACTAGAGTCCATATCCTATGAAAAGGGTTTTTAGTTCTTAACATAATTATCATTTTGCTTTTTATTTACGTGAATATTTGAATAAAGCAAGTCTCCCCTTTCAGCACTGTAAGCTCCCTGGCGGCAGGGACTGTATTTGCCCCCCTTTATGCCCTCAGCACTAAACTGTCTGACATGTAGTACGCAGTGCGTGAGGAAACATTCACTGAATGAACAAAGAAATAAATGGTGTTCACGGTGTTATGAAAATATAGGAGGGGCACAGTGTGGTGCTGGTATATATTTACCAACCAGTTTGAGGGTTTTTCAAAGCCCGGGTTTGTACCATTTGCCAATGTCTGTCATGTAAAGACTCACACTGTGGCCAGTTTTGAGATGCCAACACAAAGGCACGCATTGCTGGGGCTGGAAAGCACTGTGAGCCACCGGCTTTGAGAGCCTGGACCAGCTGGCTCCAGCACGCCACTGGGAGGGCAGAAGGTGGCACACAGAGCCCAGGCAAGCAGCCCGGAGATCTCAGCTGAGATATGAAGTATGAATCAAAGGCAGATTAGGGAGGCAGCAACGTGCGTGGGATAAAAAATTGGCCAGGCGGGTGGGGGTTGGAGAAGGAAGAGGAGAAAGTTCGATAGAACTGATGTGCACATTTGTAAAGAAGAACCTTGTAACTCTTGAAAAGAGGTTCAGACTTTATTCTGTGAGAAACACGGGGCTGACTGGCTTTGCTCCAGCTGCCTTTGTCCAATGGACTGGGCACCGTGCAGCCACCAGAGAGGAGATGCTGGTGAGCAGAACGAGGATAGAGATGTAGAGAAAGTGCAGACAACATGAAAGGAAGCCTGGCAGGAGGTGTTTCATGTGGAGATTTGGGCAGAAGAGCAGCCTGGCAGTGAGCAGGCCCAAGGCAAACCCTAGTTGCAGGAGGCGGGACCTCATGCCTCAGGGAATGGAACCAACACAAGCCAGTGCCCACCCAGGACATGAGGGGCCAGGCTTGACTGCAAGCATAGGCCTTAGAAACAGGGAGACCTGGGCTTGGGTTCTGGTTTAGCCGCTTTCTAGTCATGACTGGTTGGTTATGCTCTCTGGGTTTTTAGTTTTCTTCTCGGCTAAAACAAGATGGTATAATAAAAACACCTCCCCTGATCATTCTGATGATAAAATGAGATCAGCTATGCCAAAGTAACTGACAGTGTGTGGCACACAATAAATATTTTTTAAAAATTTAACAGAAAATAAAAAGGAAATGAATCAGACACTTCTTGGTTTACAAGTATGGTCTTCAAATCTGAATATGTGTTCCCTTGGGGAACCAACCAGAAGGGGCACGTGACCAGTAATACCATCCAAACTGAGATTCTCCAAGAGTGACAGGGGAGACCAATTACACCAGGACAACAGGTATACACGGCAGTGTGTGGTCATATCAGTGCTCAAGGCCTTTCCAGGACCGAGAGACAGGCATG